ATAGATCTGAAAATCGAGCCACGGATCTGAACTAACGAAGAACACGAACCGAGAATGGGGGTGGCGCTGTAAATCGATCTTGACTGTGTGTAATTTTCCCAAACCGTTGTTTCTCTTTCTTCGTCGGATCCTGCTAGGGTTTTCCCTTTTTCTCTGTCGTCGCTGCTATGATAGCGGGTTCGACTTGATGAAGTAGTCACTCGAAGATTTAGGGTTTCTCCAACTTGTGTTTGGAGTGTAGATTCCAAATTGGAGTTTGTTTAGTTCGAATCTGAACTAATCGACAAATTAGGTAGCGTTTTCCAGGAGGGTGTTCAAAGCACCATCAATTTAGGTCATTTCTATATGTTATCCAATTACCGGTGTTACAACAGCTCATCATCATTTAACTTGCGAAACCCACTTGAAGAATGGGTTTGATCTTTTTTTTTCTGTGTTTAATTTTTTTTTCTGGGCTTTACGAAGTGTTCTTGAGAACCATGAAGAACAGAGAGAGAGAGAGAGAGAGAGAGAGAGATTTATTTTTATTTTCTTGTTTGAGAGAGAGAGATTTATTTTTATTTTCTTGTTTTTTTTTAAATCAAAAAAATCAGAAAAACAAATAAGAAAAAAGAGAAAATCATATTAACAGGGGCAGATCCATCATTTTGAAAATAATCAGAACAGATTGGACCAAAGACGCAACAAAGTGAAAGTTTTGGACCACTGGTGCTAGTCCAAACATTTTTGGACCAAAGTGGCAATTTTCGACATACCATAGGGACCATTTGTGCAGTTTAGTCTTTTTCATAAAAACGGGTTTCGGCCCCTAAACCGGTTCCGGTTCCTAACACGGTTCCGGTTCTTAAACCCGGTTTACCCGGACCCAAAGGACCCGAAAACCGGATTAACCGAAACCCGGATAAATCCATTCTTTAAACCCGGGACCCTGACCGGTTCTACATATTCCAGTTCTAATGGTTCTGGTTTCGATCCGATTCCGGTTCCGGTTCCGGTTTTCCGGTTCTAAATCTCATCCCTGCACTACATGAAACATCCAAAAATATGGTCCCAAAAATTTCCATTTAATAAGAAATAAAATAGTATTTTCCCATAACATCCAAACACATGAATAAAACCAATGTATCAAGTTATCATAAATCAGAGTAAAACATCATAACAGAATCTCAATAGCGTGTGTGTGCAATGCAGTCACCCCAAGTTCTTCCCTTTACAACCGGAAGTACCTAAAACATAAACTAAAAATCGTAAGCACAAATGTTAGTGAGTTCCCCCAAAATACCACATACCAAACATACAATAAACATATAGTGGGCCCCGCCCGGCTTCGGACCCCGTCCGACATCAGGCCCCGCCCGACATCGAGCTGAGCTTAGTATAAAGGGCCCCGCCTAACTTACAATAACACATATCAAAATAAACACATACACATGAAATAATCACAGAGATACATAGCATACAGATATCCATCAGCCCCCGCCCGACATCAGACCTTAACCCGGAAAAACATATAAACACAACACATGCAACAGTCACGGAGACAACTAGCATACTAACAACATAATATAAACATGGCTCGGCCTTGGTGCATTCGACCCGCTAAACCCGGCAAAGAAACTCGCCTCGAATACAGAAAGGTAGCTGAACGGATCCCGACTCTGAATATCGACTCTACTCAACCCCTAAACGTAAAAGATTTCCTTAAGTTCAGCACAAAATGCTCAGAAGCCCCTTAAGTCAAACTTGGTCAAAGTCAAAGTCAACAATCCGAGTTGACTCAACTCACCGAGTTCATCCATAAACTCGCCGAGTTTATCTATCAGTCTGCAAAGTCAAGGGAAACCGATCCAACTCGCCGAGTTCTTCCATAAACTCGTTGAGTTCTCCAGAATTTCAACATCATAATCCATTAAGTCGTCCTTAATGAAACTAAGGGCTTCATAACTTAGATCTTAACTGAAATGGCCTCAATAAGGGTAAAGTTTCCAACTTCACCCCTAAGAACTACCAAAATGGGTTCAAAACCTAAACCCTAGGCTTAAAAGGGTAAGGACTTAATCATTAAGCACTTAGCCACTTAAGGAATAACCCCAAACTGTAGATCTGGCCCTAAAAGCTGAAAGACCACGTAAAGTTTCCAACTTTACCATCAAGCATGCTTAGAAGAAGCTCAAATGCTCAAAAGAAGCCATAAGATGGACTTAATGAATACATGGAGCCCTTAAGGCCATAAAGTTGACACCTTTATGCCAAAAGAGCTCATGAGGATCATAGATATGAAAGCATAGCACTTGGGACACCCTACAACTCCATTAACCACCCAACATGACTAAAAGCATCTAAACTAACCCAAAAAGAGATCTAATCAAATACTAAGCAAGGTTAGAACTTTATACCCAAAATATGCAAGAAATGGTGCAAAGAATCAAGATCTGAAGGCTCCTACTTGAATCACCACCTTGCACCAAACTTCTCTTCCTTCAATGAGCTTAAAACACACCCACAATAAGCTCACAACACTCAAGGAGGCTCTAGGGTTTCAAGATTAGGGTTAGGGACTATGGAGGCTGGAAATGAGGCCAACACCCGGGGCTTAAGGTGTTTAAATACGGTGCAAAACCCTAAAATTAGGGTTTCCTCCCCTGTTGCCAACTCGCCGAGTTGAGGCACCTCAACTCGTCGAGTTGACTCATTAAACTCCGCAGCCAAAACGACTTCAACACGTCGAGTTGAGGCTTCCAACTCGACGAGTTCTCTAGGAAAAATGCAAAAATTTGAAATAAAATCATACCAGAAACCAAACGTTACAATTCTCTCCCACTTGAATCAGACTTCGTCCTCAAAGTCCGCTGCCTCGAACAATTGAAGCACCTACCTCTTGTTGGAAAAAAAATGTGTTGGTTAAAAGAAAAATAAATATCTTTGAAAAAAATGATTTAACTAAATGAAATATGTGAAAGATGTGAGACGATGCCTTATAAATAACAAGTTGCTAAAAAACTTTTAAGTACATTTGTGCTTTTATGTTTGGTAATAAGTTAAAAATCGGTTAGTTGGGACATCTTTTTACTATAAATTGGTTTCTACGGTTGTTTTTAAATATTTAATACATATATTTATCAAAACCGTTTTTTTGAAAGGTCCAACTGGTCCGATTGAACCGATGTTTTATACAAATCGATCGGTTCCATCTTGTTTGCTAACAAACGATTTTTTTAGATTAAAAAATGATAACATGGACGATTCTTGGTTGAACCAGTCGAATCATCGGTACGATCCGATTTTCAAGTTCATGTTTGTGTTGGTCTGGTTGAACTTGTTTAGTAAACCAGATGATTTTATATTCTAAATCCACCATTGTGAAAATGGTCCACTATGAAGGGTTAAGGACACATGATGGAGGTGGTCTTTTTAAATCTCAAACACATGGTTTCAAAAGTGAAAAGGTTGTTGGGTACTATGGGGTTGGGGTGAGATGTATTATTTTTCGACTTTAATATTTATTGAGAAATTATAAAAATAAAATAGTCTTTTCAATATTTTCAACTAGACGTGAAACCCGTGTATTACACGGGTTTATTAAAAATAAAAATTTAATATCAATATATAAACATGAAATATTTTATAAAGTAATACTTTACATAATAGAATTTAATCTTTTGGAACATTTGCAAAAGAAATTAAATCGTTTTGAGTACTTATGAAAATTTATTATCAATTTAATAGGATGATTTTATTTACTTATATAACCCATTCCAATTTTATAGAATTTTATTTTAAGAAAATGAAAATCCCTAAAAAATGACAATTGAAAAATAAAAATTCTAAAACTCTCACAAAATGACAAGTATCAAAATGAAGGAGAAGATGACATGTAGCAAAAAAAATCTTCATTTATTAGAGATGATGTTAAATAGAGATAAATCTACAACCAAGCTAATTGAATAAACGTATTCATAATTTTAAAAAGGTTTAGACATACAAAAAAAAATACATGCGGACCATTTTGCAATTTTATCTTCATTAAATATTTGAGTGGGTCCCAAAATATTTATTCGTCATTATACATACAATTAATTCCCAAAACATTGAGGAACAGTATAGTATTGTTGTTTCAGAAATTTGCCACCATATTTTCAAGATTTGCCACTTCTGGTCCCTACTCTTTACTAAATTGGTGTGCTGGCCCCATATTTTTGAGATTTGCCTCTTCTGGTCCCTACGCTTTATAACTTCCTACTCTGAAGGTATGTATGCAAATTTTCTTTATAAAAGTTATAAAATGGTTGTATTGGTAAACATTATTCCATACGTACACTAACCTCCCTTGCCCGCACTAAAGTGCGGAGCTTCTCCTAGTTACTATACAATTGCAAATGTTGAAAGAAACGTTGCAAGTATTATTTACATGACAATTGGAGGGTGTATGTGATTACTTTTTAACCTTAAAAGTCTTTTCTTTTCTTTTCGAAAGATTTTTTATAAAATGAATTTTTATAAAATAAGTTTTTTAAAATGTGTTTGGATTAGCTTCTGAGAGGCGAAACCAAAAGTTGTTTTTAAAAAATGTTTGATTTAACTTTTATATATAAAATGACTAAAAATGAAATGTTTAGAAAATGTTTGGGTAGTTGTAATGGATATAAATATAATTTACGATATTAACAAGTCACAAAATGATAGATTTCATAACTTTTGAAAAAAATTTATTTTTGTTTATGGCAAAAAAATGTTTTAAAAGAACTTTTCCACTTCAAATGTTGTCCGGACTTTTTGAAAAAGTTAAAACCAAAAAATTGTTTTAAACGGAATGACAAACACCTCCTTGAAAGAATAATTGCAAGAAATTTTAAAGGTTGGTGTGGAAGCTTTGACACAATATATTAACAAACAAAAAATATAAAAAAAAAAAAAAACAAACAATTATCATCGATTAGCATTTAGTCATGTGAAAAATATATATAAAAATATGTAACGGTAATTCACACTTATGCGTACAAACGTTTAACATGAGACTTTGGTGAGGCATAAATGGAATTACGAGATCATTTTTCTAAAAACTTCAAAAATCAAAACCATGGCTAAATCACCTTCTCCTGCTATTGTAGACGAAGCATCAGCAACGGCAGCATACCCGTATCCGTACACCGCCAATGTTGCCAATTTTGTATCCGTCAAGCTCTCCGGCCACGACAAGTACCAGTTGTGGAAGACACAGATGCTTTGTCTCATTGAAGGTCATGGCATGCTTGGTTTCATCGACGGCACACTCGAACCACCACCGGAGACCAGGCCGGACAATGCTCAGTGGTGGAGGAGGTCCGACGCGCTTCTCCGTGGATGGATTTTGGGTTCCTTGAGTGACGATGTACTCAGCAGCATAATTGGCCTTAAAACAGCCAAAGATGTTTGGGTATATCTCGAGAGTTCTTATGGTTCTTTGACTCCCCAATCTAGCTCGTTAGTAGCTGTGAAAGGAGAAATTGACGGTGGAGAATGGAAATTCGACGGCGGTTTCATGAGATCTACTGCACATTCCAGGTCTCTGCCGGTTCCACTCCGTGGCATGTCGCAACAAATCGATCTGAAAGGGGATTCGGCGACGCCTACCGTCGATAGCAAAATCAACAGTCGGTCTAGGAAATCACGAGGTTTAGAAAGCACGGCATTCCCGGAGGATAGCTGGACCGGCAATTCGCCGAAACTTCTTTCGATGGATTTGGCTGAGATCACCGATTTTCTACAAGGTAACTTTGTGTTTTCGAATTAGAGACATCATCTTTCATTAGCCTGTAGATTTTGAGCTTTTATCATTATAAAAATTCAAGCTACAATTATACAACATAGATAAACCGATCAATGAACATCCAATTGCACCAGTTGTTCTAAATCGACTTAATTTGATTAAACTTGAACGGAAGACGTATTTGACACGATTGTCTGGAAACAATGATCGATACTTATGCAATCTCAGTCAGCATCTATTTTGTCTTCTTTGCCTTCTCTATTTCATAATATCCCTTCAGATTACTGAAGGGTCCACCTTGGGTCATGAGATTCCCTGATTTTGTAGTATTCGACTTGACTATTACAGAATTCGGTGAAAAAAGGTAGTCACGGGTAGGACCAAGCAAATGTCTTCGTTTTTTTTTTTTATGTTCTTTGTGGTTCTTGTTAAAGTTTTCTTTTTTATTGTTTCCTTGGTAACTCCTAATGCATATATGAGCAACTTTTTGTCTATATCTAGCCTGTTTCTCATGTCTCTATTAGGTTAAAATTAGGACTAAACATTGGGCATCTTTTCCCCTTATATCTAGCTTGTTTCCAAGATATGGGAGGGTAGATCTTTCATAACAATGATATTTACCTAATATTACTTGTGATTTGTGAAAAAGAAGAATAATCAGATGCTTGTTATATTTGTATAGCTCTTATAAATAGTTACATTCCTACATTTATACATGTTTATGATTCTACCTAATAACATTTTGAACAATCATTTGACAGAAGCAACTACAAACATAAGTGCATACCTACCACTATATAAAGCTGCCCTAAGAGGCGATTGGGATGATGCACAACATTTTATAGATCAAGAACCTGAAGCAGTCACAGCCAACATCAACAAATATGGATTCACAGCTCTTCACATTGCAGTTGGAACAGGGAAACAAGGGATTACCTTTGTCCAGAAGTTAGTTGAGAAAATATCACCCAAATCACTCCTAAAAATGCTAACTTCTTCAGAAAAATACACACCTCTTCATATTGCAGCTGTTGTTGGCAACACTGATGCTGTCAAGATCTTGGTGAATAAAAACCATAAGCTTTTGTATGCTGAAGATGTGGATGGCTTATTACCTATTCATAGAGCTCTTATTAATTCTCATAAAGATACTTTTTTATATTTATTGGGTGTCACAAAAGCCAACCAATATCCTTATACATTCACTGGCAACATGGGCGTTACACTTCTTTCCAATGTCATTTTTGCAGGTTATTTTGGTAAGTGGTTACTCTTATTGTTATTGTGAAATGTTGAATTGTTATTTATTTATTGTTTTGTATGTTTTTATAGATATAGCTCTTGATTTAATCTCTCGATATCCTGACTTGGCTACAACAATACCATCTGATAATGTGGATGCTCCATTGATGGTTATAGCAAGGAAAGCAGATGCCTTTGAAAGTGGATGTCGCCTCAGTTTCTTTGATAGCTTAATCTATAAATGTAATGATTCTGTTTCCTTTACACATTTACCTTTTTGACCCTTTTAAAGCTAAAAGATTTCATTTCATTTATATCACAGATGTTCCTACAAAGTTGGTGAACCTCAACTTAAACAAGAAACAGCACAAGATGGACTTCTGGAGTTCAGGTTTGCTACAAACTTAATGGGAATTGTTTGTTTTCATTTTTTATTATTTTCTAACAAAAATATGTAAAAAAAATATGGTGTAGTTCTTCAAGAGATCGGTTTTCTTGTCTGGAAAGCTGTGGGCAGGATCTGTAAGTATCAATGAACACAATCTAACTTTAATTTTTTTTTTTTTGAGAACACCTAAATCTTGAATCTTTTTTGAATTTAGTGCCACATATTACACATATTCAGAAGATAAAGCTGGTTCATAATCAAGCTGTTGCACTTGTGAAATGTCTATGCCATGAAATCAGTGCCCTAAATCTGGAATCAAATAGCATTTATTATTCAAAACCAATTATTGAAGCAGCAAGTAATGGTGCTTATGAAGTTGTTCAAGAAATTGCTGACACATTTCCTCAAGCAATTTGGTACAGTGATGAAAGTGGGCATTTCATGATTCAATTAGCCATACTTCATCGTTGTGAAAAGGTTTACAATTTAACATATCAAATGAGTGATCATAAACATTTTCACAAGACTCTCAAAGACTCTCACAACAACAATTTGTTGCATTTAGCGGGAAAATTAGCACCTCCACATAAACTTAATCTTGTTTCTGGAGCAGCATTACAAATGCAGCGTGAATTGCAATGGTTTAAGGTATAACACTTTTCTCTTTTATTATTATTATTATTATTATTTTCATTACATATTGACAAAATTGTGATATTATTGCAGGAAGTGGAAACATTTGTGCATCCAAAATACAAAATGGAAAAGAACTCATTCGAGCAAACACCGGAGATGCTGTTCACCAAAGAACACAAAAAGCTCGTGAGAGATGGTGAAGAATGGATGAAGAAAACCGCCGATTCATACACAGTAACCGCCGGACTCATCACAACAATCGTCTTCGCCGCCGCAATTACAGTGCCAGGTGGCAACAACGGCGATACAGGTCATCCGATTTACGCGAAAGAATTATCTTTCTTAATTTTTGCTGTAGCAGATGCAATCTCACTCTTCACCTCCACAACATCTCTGTTGCTGTTTTTGTCGATTCTAACTGCTCGTTATGCAGAACAAGATTTCTTGTTTACGTTACCTTCGAGGCTGATTATGGGATTGGCGACATTGTTTTTGTCGACGAGTTCGATGATGATTGCGTTTGGGGCTTCGTTGTATCTTTTGTTTGGGCAGGGGAAGGATTGGATTCTGATTCCGATTGCTGCGTTGTCGGGTTTACCGATTACTTGTTTCGTGACGTTACAGTTTCCGCTTCTTGTGGAATTGATTTCGTGTACGTATGGTCGAGGGCTTTTTGGGAAACAAAGTGATCGCCCGTTTTATTGAGGTTATTTGTAGTCTTTTTTTAGATTAAGAAAAATGATTTTTTGTTGAGGGATTGTTGTAAATGCATTGGTGTTTAGTTGTTAATGGATAAACTAGAAAGTTGTATCAAACTCAGAATGAATCGACTTGAGATGCGAAAAGGCAGTGTAAACTGTAAACTTGTGTTTGGTATGGAATGATCGAAAAGGGAATGGAATAGAGCATTCCTACGATTAGGGAATGCATAAATATTGTTTGTTAGCCGGATAGGGATGTGAAATTCATGATCTCTCAAAGGAATATGATTTCTTCTCCGGCTTATTTTCAGTAGTTTGGGAGAGGGTTTCTTGGACTTTTCACTAAAATGACAAAAACATGGATATAGAATATCACAAACTAATCATCTCTGTTTTATCACAAAAAGACCATGAGTTTTCGAAAATGCAATTTGTGATTTGCGAAATTGTCCCTGTATGTTGTTGGCGAGAGCAATACTAGGAGAAGATAAGTCATACATGTGTAGATAATTGTTATTGTAGTTGTTCCAGATCCTAGAGTTACGGCTAAGTAATTGATAGTTTGGTAGAAATCTCTTGTATAAATATGTTCTCCTGTAACCTAATTAGTATATATAAAAACGGAAAAATTCTTCCACCAATCTCTTGTATTCTTTTTCACATGGTATCAGAGCATACCTAATCCATTCGAACAATCTATTGAAACCTTCGAAACCATACCGAATTCATAGAACATTAGTGAAAAAGCAAGAACTTCAAACTCTCCTCAAGTCATCGTTCACACAGATCCTATCAGCGACGGGGAAAGTCTGGCGGAGAAATCACATGCCAAAGTATTGTGCCATACGATCAGCCATCTTGCTCATCTCCCTATTAACTGCATCCCTCTCATATTCTGCTAGTTCTGCTCGACCTTCTGTTTTCCAGATTTGTTGCTTGAGAGCGGCAACCTCCTCTTCCAATTGACGCACACGGTCAGCTAAATTCCCTGGGGGTGCAAGATGGTTCTGCATCACCTCTGAGGTGGGAGGCTCGCTGGGGACCGTATTAGTGTCCCCATCTCCCTCCACATCTTCGTCGGATTCCCCAAACTCATACTCGGTCTCCATGTACTCCTCAGGACCGTCCCAGGGTTCTACCTCCTGACCCATAACGGGTTCTCCGTCAATCAGCCTGTTGGCCACCAGGGCTTGATAATAAAGGATTCCTTGTTGGACTTCTTCCATGACGATTGCGCACGAATCAGAGGGGTGAGAGGTGTGTAAAGTGTGTATAGCATTTTCAAATGTTCCTATAGCATTTAAAATTTTGTTTAGGTTTGGTTCTATAAACTATTTGGATAATTAGATGGTAAGTTTTTGATTCATTGACCATCATGATTACTCCCGAACATATGTTGGTCGTATTTTGAATGAATGTAGTTGATCAGTCTACATTCACCCCCAATACGACTACATAACTGTCCAGGTTTAATCGCAATGTTCAAATTCTCCAAATACTTTTTCGGTTAGTTATTATGTTATTACCCTAATATGCACACATAGGTGTTTTATTTTGTTTTGTTCAGAGTTATTTAGTCCCAATGTATTTATAGTTGCATATCCTATATGATTAGATATGCCAGTTCACTATAAACAATGCTCTGATACCAACCTGTCACACCCTCGAACCGGACGGCGGAATCGTCCGAGGGCTCGTGTGACTATCAATTGTATATCATCACAATGAATATAAATGGGCTATAAGTTACATGCCAACACAGAATGTATATAAATTACATGCCAACACAGAATGTATATAAATGGGCTATAACAAACACCATCATCATACATTCAAAATTACAACCATCATTTCTTACATCGAGTAGTGGGTTATAAGTTACATGCCAACACAGAATGTATATAATAGCAAAACAAGTACAAAAAGTTGTCAAATTCTTGAAGTCCACCTGTTTAACGGTTTCCTGAGAATACAAGTTAATTTGAAAATGTCAACATATATAATGTTGGTGAGTTCATAAGCATGTTTAAGTAAACAGTTTTGTATAGTTTTGTAACACCAGAAAATCCGATATTTTCAAAAAAAAAAAAATGAGTTGTAAAGATTGTGTTCGATCTTGTATTAATGCATGTGTGTCAAGGTATGAAAAGTACATTCCCGAAAATCCTATATTTTCTTATATTAGTAGAAGATATTGATTAGTTAAATGTTTTCTCCAGAAAATCTTATTTCCTGATTATAAAAAAAAATGAAGCAGTCTTAATCGCCAAAGACCGTGTTACATTGATGAAGTATTCCGTAAATTTATAATGGAGTTATTCTCTGAGTAAGTCGCTATAACCATACATAATAATGACAAATTCGCCTGTCGTGACGTTTGATAAACGCCGAAGAATCATAAGATAAAAGTTTGTCATCCTAGACTGGCCTAGTCTAACTGTAGCGAACAGTTCAGGTGTGGGGTGTCACCCCGTATAGATCTATACACAAACTTCCGCTCTCCCTCCAGGAGACTCTGGCTATAACTACAGGCTACGATCGTACACTCGATATGTGTCAACCGAAAAATCTCACTAGAGTCTTTACCAAAATTACGCGAATATGGAATTACACTATTAAACATAATTAATAAACTTTTGGAATCATTGACATGTAAATGGACATCAAGGGTCCAAATGACATGTAATGAAAATTCCAGGCCCAATAGACATGTAAAAGGACACTAAGGCCCACTAAACACGCAAAAGGACACTAAGGCCCACTAAGCATGTAAAAGGACACTAAAGCTCACTAAACATGTGTATTATATTTCAGGCCCAAAAGTGAATGAGTATTTCAAGACCCAATATACTTGTAAAGGGACAACTAAGGCCCACTAACTTGTATATTATTTCCAGGTCTAATACGAAAGTAATTACCGTGTTTAACCCGTTTTCTTATTGTTCTGTTCATTTTATACCAAGTATTTGCCAATTTGTGTTAGAAGGACCACTTTTGTAAAAATGACACTCTTGGCCCAATAAGTCAAAAATTTACAATTAAGGTCCAATCTTAGTAAAAATAACACTTTAGTCTCCATTATGTTCAAAACTTGCTTTTATGACTAGTTTTTGGTAAAAATAACATTTTTAACCTATTTTTGTCAAAAATATCATTTTTGGCTTGATTGTTGTGAAAATACACATTTTTCTGGTTTTGGGCTTTTCGGACCTAGTTTTTGGAAAATTCGTAGAAAAATCATCGTAAGTCGAAATTTGGATCCGTAAATTCTGGAAGTTTGGAAATTTTGTCTACTTTGTTCATAATTTTTCTAATAATTTTTTAATGGCTTCTAACAAGTGTGAAATTGCTCACCTTCACAGGCTGGTCCGAAATTATTTCAAATATGATAGGCAGTTTTGTAAAATTCGCCAAAAATTGTAGAAAAATCGTATGAAAACGTGAGAGTAGTCATTTTAAAGGTATAAACCTGAACTTTCTTCATGTAAAACAGTTTTGAAAAATATTATCATTTAGGTGGTCAAAACAGTTCGAGATTGGACCAAAACGTTTCTGTGAAGGGCTGATTTTTGAGTTTAGTTTATAGATCTTGGAACACAACACTCATTTTTACTATTTTAAGTGTATAAATCCCAGATCTACTAGTTTACATGTATTATATGTGATAACACATACTTTTATCAAGATTTTTTTATGAAGATCCAAGTGGTGAACTTCATATTCTTAACATATTTTTAGATTTATAAGGTAAGCAACACCTAATCACCAAATAAATCATGTAAAACACACATAGTCATGCATATACACATAGATCTACACAAGACAACTTGTATTCTCCCCCAAAACAAAGTAAAACTCGAAAATAGGGGGTATGAACTCACTTTGCTTTGATGTTTTTGGTCTTGGATGAAGATTGAGAAGGGTCTCGGTCCTAGAAGCTTTCTTGAGAGGATCCTCGAAAGTAGGATGATTATAGGAGTATAACACAATATTTGTGATGTTTTGATGAAGATCTAACATAATATGGATTTATCCAAGTTAAAAGTGAAGTATCTTACCTAGTATGTGAGTTGGAGGGACCTTCTTGAGCACACACACACACCCACTCACAGGTTTATGGAAGAAAATGGGGGAGTTTCTTGAAGGTTTGAAAAATGGAGTAGAGTTTGAATGTTCTTTGATGAGGGATAATGGCCTTAGGCCGTGAATATGAAGAGAGAAAGAGAAGAAGGGATGTGAAGTGAGATGTGATATGTATAGAAACATGAGACATCCATAGATATATGTTGTATAATTTGCATGGAAGTCTATTAGATAATTATGAGGTGGCACTCTTCTAGTTATCCCTTTATTTTATTTTATTATATATATATATATATATATATATATATATATTTTGAAGATATAAATGGGCCGAGAATGAGGGAAGGGAAAAGAGAAGGAAAAGAAAAGTTTGGGCCCTTAATGAACATTCTTGAGATCATAGGCCCATCATGGATGTTTTCGGCCCATTGGGCCCTTCTTATGGGTTTACGGCCCAATTCTATGTTGTTGAAGAGTTTTCGGCCCAATTAGGACCCATGAAAATGAAGTGAGACATTCTAGGCTCATTATGGCCCAGATGCTATAGTTTATTGAATGTGGGTCCAATTAGAGCCCAAATAGGGTTCCTAGGCCCAAAGTGGTGAAGTTGGAGATTTATTGGTCCATTAGACCCAATAAGAGAATCCTAGTCCATAATGAACTTGAGCCGGGATTTCTAGGGTTTCCAACCCTTATTTGAACATATGAGATGTATTTGAACGAGAATAGAGTATAGTATTCACTTAGAGTACCAGTTATTATACTAGTTGAATGATTATATGAGAGTGGAATTTCCTAGCAAAAATGCTAGTTGTGACATTTTTCTGGCAGGATTGGACTCAGAATTCAACCAGGCACGAAGTGAAGTACCGAAGAAGGATCCACCATTAAGTTTGGAAGCATGTTACGCCTACATACGAA